GAAATTTCTGCCAAATTTTAATTTAATAAAATTATTGTTAGTTGTTACCCGATACTTACTATAGCACCTTCAAAGTTTGGCTTCTTGCCGTGTCAATCATCTATCGCCCCAAGGTAAACAATGCAATCAAGCATGGCGATTGAGCTTGCAGACAATAATTGATTATGATAACCGTTTATCAAAGAAACTTCATAGTTTTAATATGAATAAAATGCGTAAATACTCTATTTCTTTTATTTAAAATAAAATTTAACATTGTGCCACGTCCATGTGATTGCAACACTAAAGAAAAGTTGACGAATGTTTACCTAATTACGAGAGTGATATTGTATTTCCGTGATTGACTAACCGAAAAGACAAATAGGGGATGGATAAAAAATATCACATTTATATATATTTACAGGTCCCTGATTTAATGGCAAGTGCAAGCGCTAAAATTTATTTGCGCCAATGCATTCCTGCTTGTATCTAGGCTTAAATACGTATGCGCCAAATTTTCTCATTTTAAAGTATTTATTTTCGATATGATTTATCTCCTGACACAGTGATTATATAAAGTTTACAAAGTTACTTTTTGTCCATAATATTTTATAAAGTTTGCCATATCATTATTAATGCCCAGAACTAAACAATGTTTATAAAGGTATTATCTGCTTCGACACTTTATAAAGGTAACAACATAATTTTTGGCCCCTTACACACATAAATTTAAAGTGAAAGATTTACAACTTCAAAACTTTTTTGGCAGTTCCGACAGGTTTATCGACACTTAATTGACCAATCTGACAAGATACATCCTTAAATTTGTTGTTTTACCTGAGGTTGAGATGACAGCTCGACATTAGGAGGTCACATTGGAGGACACTTCTAAAAACACCACAGAGAGTTCCGAACTTAAGTCCTCCCCGTGAGTCGATGCGTCAGACTCCAGTAACTTGAGTTGTTTGTTGACTCTCTCTGATATACAGTACTTTGGCATCAAAGCCAACATCTGTCTCTCAATCCTGACCTTTTGACCTTTCAACTCTATTCCAGCTGGGTCAAGGTCATCAAATTCTGCATTTGGAATTTCTGTTTTGTAGAACATTAGAAATGAGGATACATACATAGTTTGAACATTTTTTAACTAAACTTTAGAAAAAAATGCTACCATTAAAATGACGTAATGAACAAAATCTGCTTCCACAAAATACATAAACATAACTGTATTTACCTCTTGAGTTAGCTCATGTCAGTAAACTGCTGTAGTTAGAGCTAGTTCACGTAGAGCAAGAACTGAAGAATTAAACTGGGCTGTCTGTCTAGCAGAATTCCGTGGAAAACTTCTCCGTGAGATAAGATGAACTGCATCACCTATAAGAGCATGGAATGGTGAACAATACTGTAAAATGTTTGTGAGGTTCTGATATTTATGGATTCCGTGGTTCACCCTTACCCATAAAATTACATTCCCATGACAATTATTTTTATTAAATGTATCAATTACTTGATTCTGATCTATTTTTAAGTAAGCTATGAAGTTATGTCTACAAGTACATGTAAATTGCCTATGAACACCCATACCCATAGATCAAAACATGACAATTTCTTTTTGATACACAGACTTTCTAGGGAACTATTCTAAATACTGCTTTGGGTCCATGAGGGGCTCTGCATTGACTCTTTACATCTTACTGAGCTGTTATGCAACATACACTAAATGTTCATGTCATAGAAATTTACCATTTCCCCACGAGCACCTTTTAGAGTGGAACACGTTTCTTTAAAGTTTAATGTATAATATTACAGTAAAACTCGTTTAGTACGAACACGGATATAGCGAATTCATGGATATAGCGAAGTTTTTCTGGGTCCCCGGCAAAATTCTTAACAAATCCTTGTAAAATTTTACGGTTATAACGAACTCTGATATTACGAATTTACGGATATAGCAAACTGATTTTGGGTCCAGTTGAAATTAAATACAATGTATAATGAAATTTACATCTTTTATAACGAACTTTCAAAGATCTCAAAGTTTGATAAATTGAACTGACTTATTTTTGTTCATGCAATTGTTTATAAAATTCAACTCACAATAAAACCTAAGTCATCCTAGGTATCTTTTGCTTCCCTAATATAGTTGGTAGTAATATTTGAAGGAAAACATGCAGATTGCAAATTCGCTTTTTATGGTTTTACGAATTCATTATAGGGTTATAATGAATTACGGATATAGCGAATTAAATTCAAAGGTCCCAAGGACTTTGCTAAAACCGAGTTTTACTGTATGACACTATACTTCGATACAAAAATAACTTTTATTCTTTGATGAGTTTTTTGCAAGTATGAGATAGAAGGAATTCGGATTAAATTAACAATTAAATGAACTTTTTTAAAGTGCATGAAAATGCATGATTGCGGGGAAATGGTATATGCGTGATTTTGCGTTAGAAATAGGAAATGGTATATACAGTTAATTCTCTATAAACCGCCACCTTTTGTTATTTGAAATCATGGCGGTATAACGAATTTGGCGATGAATTGAATTTTCTATCTTTTAGGAAATTAGACGTAGAGTTATCGTTCTTAGAAATACCATTTAGCATTTCTATTCTTATTTTTATGTATGTATAAAAATGTATGTAATGTAAAAATAAACATGTATTTATAAACAAATTTCTAAAATTGAAAATACTTCAAGTAATTTTTTTTATGTAAATGTCGCTAAAACAAAATATTTAGTTATGAAATAAGACAAGTACATGTGTATGCATGAAAATCTGCGCGTCTCAATTGAATAAAAAAATGCTGGGTCGATCGTCGTGATATATTGCTACTATGTAAAGTGAGTTATTGAATAAATTCATTGTTTATGACATCATTGTTTATGAAACGTTCACAATTTCTGACTTATAATTATATTTAAGTACTTTGCATTGCTTTTAAAAGCAGAGATAATCAAAATAATATTGTTATCGGCGTACTTTACAACGACGGCTTTCGTGGAGAAGCCTTGACTGAATGATTTTATTTAACAGAAAACAAAATTATTCTAACAGTTCATGTTAAAATTATTGTTTATTTAATTGCATGTACCTTGACTGGCTTAATTGAAACCCAATTAGCCGCGCTTCACTGACCACATGCACCTGTGGCGGTATTATCGAGATAATCGACACTTAAAAAGGGACGTTTGTTTCGAAAAACAGTGTGGCGGATGGCGGTATGCGAATTTGGCGTTATAAAGAGAATTTTATATAGCAGGAAATTAAAACGTTCTTGGGAAATCATGGCGGTATTGCGAAAATGGCGATGAATTGAATGACGATAATTCGAGAATTGACTGTATATACATTAAAATGTGTGACTGTGGGGAAGGGGGTTAAACAAATATATCTGTAGTAGATATTCACTTCAGATTGCCACAGATCTGGTTTTCTATGCCCAGTGAAGTTAGCATGGGCAGACAGAATTTGAGGGCTGCAAAGAGAAGTTGACGATAGCGGGCCATGGGGCTGGGCAGGAAATCCTCCTCTGTATCTACACCGGCTTTATCTCTGTAAAACGTACAATATGGTCGATAATCAATGCAAGTATGTTTGCTCGGGCAATACTTACAAAACTTTTAATCCTCATTCAGTATATTTACAAACTTCCAAACTGTAAATCCTAAACTGCTATTGATAATTTTGTACATTTTCATACGTACTTTGACAATGTTTGATTTCTATAGACATTCACAAGACCCTATAGCTGACACACCCACCTGTCAAAGTCAGGTAGAAGGTCAAAGAAGACACATCCAGCCAGTCTCTGCATGACTCCACACTGTAACAAGGTGTGGGCCCCCACGACTGACTCTGCCACCCGAGTCAACAAACTCTGTAACACAGTCATTGTATTTATCCATTTACATGTAAGTCAAAAAACTCTGTGACACACAGTGAATTTTTATTTATATGTCAGAGCCCTTAAATTTAATATCAATATAGAAAATCAATGGACTACAGCTAAATCATAATTTTTGAATGTGTTACAGATAAATGTTTCATTAGATGCATGATGACAAATGTGGGGGTAGAATAAGGTAGTAATGGAAGACGTACAAGTTTGGACAGATAGATGTACAGCACTCTGAGTTGGGGGGTGGGGGACACAAGGGTCTGTAGCGGCTGGTCGTCATGGAGAAGGCTGTCCACCAGGTGTTGGAGGTAACCTTTAGAGGACAGAAAGGTCATCCATTGCTGGAACTTGTCCATAGACAGAATGGTGTCCAGTACTGATAGAGCCAGCATCTACAACAGACAACATTAATATAGGTCATGCCCTGCTGGAACCTGTTCAAAATGAAACCAGCTAGTGGAACTAAAAATACACGAGGATATGAAGATTCACTCCTTACCCTTCCTACATCCTGATCATCACATGCATCGTGACACACCATGTCCATAAAGTTGTTGCCTACGACAGAATGGTAGCCACAATTTCCCAACTCAGCTGTTCATACTCAGAGTGGGCGTCGGCCAAAATCCTCTTCCCAACCCCGTCACCTCCTGCCTCTGTCAGGAAAAGGTAACATCGTTATAAACCTTTGTCATGGTAGTTTAGGTTTTTATTTCTGATATAATATAACACTTGAAGAGCATGACTGTATTCTAAATACATACAATTTTATGTTGATCTATGTATGCCACAAAGTAAGAGCAAACTCTGTGGAGTTTTGTTGACACTCAGGCTTTGACATCTTACTTTGAATTATGTTCTTAAACAAGACACATGAGATTTTAACTTAGACATACCTATGTATCAATGTAAGTCAGTGACTTGGGTTTCTGAGCGATTTGTAGATAATACAGCAAGGCCCCGTAAAGATTAGCTCTTACTCTCTGCTGGGCACCACCTTAACAGAATTAGAAATTGATTAAAATTTCTTAGTTTTGTATATTATTGTTTGAAATTATAGTTTCGTGAACAGGCACTTGGAAAAATTTCTTTTCAGCGAAAAAAAATATGGACATGTACGTACCACTGGATGAAAAGTCTAGTTTCCGCAAAACTGAAACTATGCGGAAACCTTGCTGAAACTTGGCGTTGAAGTTTCCTGTATGGTTTCCGCAATGCGGACACTATATAATAGTTTCAGCAAGTTTCAGTAGGGTTTCCGTATACTGAAACCATTAGGTTTGTTTCCTAATAGTTTCCGCAAAACGGAAACCAATGTAAAATTTAATGAAACGTCAATTTAACGATACGTTTTAGTTTCAGTAGGTTTCAGTTTCCGGAAACTATTAATTTCGATTCCATATGGTTTCCGCATGCTGAAACCGTACTGAAACTTTTTCTAATTTTTTTTTTTCAAAAGGGTAGAAAAATCAACTCATATGCATATGATCTTTTTACTATTGATTTCGATTCCATATGGTTTCCGCATGCTAAAACCGAACTGAAACTTTTTCTCTATAATTTTTTTTCAAAAGGGTAGAAAAATCAACTCATATCATCCTTATATTTATTTACTCATAACACAATCCAAAACAAAAAGGGAAAATCAAAATTCCCTTTTTTTCACCCAAGGTTTACAATCTGAAGTCATTTTGGTCTTAAAATCCTTATATGTGTCTCCACAAGTTCCCTTTTTGAAGATTTTTTAAGTATTTGAGGAACGTTCCTCTTTCTACTCTCCAGATGCATTTGTTATGACCAGAGATTTGAGGAACGTTCCTCTTTCTACACTTTTGGTGCATTTGTTATCACCAAACATTTGAGGAACGTTCCTCTCTCTCTCTCTCTCTCTCTGAACTTCAGATGCATTTGTTATGACCAGACATTTGAGGAACGTTCATCTCTCTGAACTTCAGATGCAATTGTTATGATCAGACATTTGAGGAACGTTCCTCTCTCTAAACTAAGATGAATTTATTATCACCAGACATTTGAGTAACGTTCCTCTCTTACATGTGCACACACAGCGTGTATTTTTAAATACTTTAAGAATCTTAACACATGAGACATTTGAGGAACGTTCCTCTCTCAAATTCACTTTTTCTGAAGACATCTCATGAATGGTCAAACATCAGGCATTTGAGGAACGTTCCTCGCTCGAATTTAATTATTACTGTAGGCATCTCAAGGATTGTCAAATATCAGGCATTTGAGGAACGTTCCTCTCACAAATGGTTGTCTCAGGAATTTTCAAATATTAGGCATTTGAGGAACGTTCCTCACTAAAATTTAACATTGTTCACACAGGATACTTACATGTATGAGGAACGTTCCTCTCTCAGATTTGTATATGTTGATACCTTATTCATATTAAATCAGGCATTTGAGGAACGTTCCTCTCACAAATGGTTGTATTTCTGTTTATAACTTATACTTCATGAAGCTTGCAACCCGTGTATTTGAGGAACGTTCCTCTGTCTTGTAATGGATATCTGTTGATACATTGCAAAGCCCACTTAAAATAACTTTAAAGGAATGTTCCTCTCTAACATTATCATGTGTTTTGTGATATTATATTAGTTTTTATGAAGAATTTGGGAAACATTTCTCTCTTTAATATGAAATGCAGTACATATTCAAAGAAACATTTTTTATCTCTACACACTCTACAAAATATATATGAAAAATCAGTTTGTCATTTTATAAAGTACTTTTTGAATTAAGGCTTTCTTAAAGCATGATATAAACTAGGTACAATGTCTTGGTTAACAGGTTAATACCCACAGTATGTATTTTTCTTTTCTACCTCGAAATTAAACCAAAGTTGTAATGAAAGTCAACCATGTTTCTTTCTCGGCTACATCGATCTTTCCCTCATAATAGAGACGATTCCAATTCCTTTGTCTCCAAAGGTTCATAGCATTTCTTCATCAGTCACAGTAAAACAGCCTCAACAAGTTTCTTGGGTGTCATCTTCTGTAGGAAAAATCTCACATTCAGTACAGCGGCATGTCGTATTATCAAAGATGTGATTCAGGCAAAGTTAGAATAATCGAAACAATGTGTACATAATAACAAGTTTTGATGTCTCATCTAAAAATTAGATAGACTGGAAAAATCGACATAAAAAAATTGCAAAACTTAAATTAAAGTTTTGAACTTTAAATTGCCCATGAATTATGAAAGCATTTCATACTCTATTAAGAATATTGCAAAATTGACACTTTCTATCTTTCTCATACTATTTTAATGAAATACTCTATATGTTTTATATTTAGATTGTACTATATTTGGCGGAAGTTGATATTTCCATAAGTATTAGGTATGATTTAGCGCATTTTAATGTTTTATGTTTAAGACATTTAGCGTTGTACTTAAATTAGCGGATGTTTCTTTCCGCCAAAAGAGCTAAAAAGAATACACCACCAAATGTTACACGTCTACAGTAATAACTCTGATTTGCAAATTATGTCTGAGAAAAATCATTCTCCTTTATATCTTGCATGTAACACTAATTTAAAAACTAAGTGACAATTGGAAATGTAAATTATAATAATATATAGGTCTTAAGCCCCATACTCCTCCAATGAACATTTTATATACATGTATGATAATATCAATTAAGTCATCAAATTTTTAAAAGTTTAATTTATTTCTCTTTTTCCATAGTGCATGCAGCTGTCAAAGAATATTTCATGGGTTTTATTAATGTATTCTTTAATTTACATGAACCTATTTTCATTCTGAGTCTCAATTTGTATTATATTGTAGTACTATTGTGTATTTCTTAAAACTGAAGAATTGATTATATGATAGGGATTTGTCTAGTAACCTTAATTCCTGCATCATTTTCTACTTTAAAGATAAAGACTTTGAGACCTTAATGTCTTCCTGGCCCCAGCTCACAGTGTCATTGTTATTAATCACTGCCAATCATATACGCTCATGGAACACTAGCTATAGGCGATCAGCTCTGGCTACTATCTGTCCCCTGTGACTTCATGGACAGTAGAGATCAGTGCTGACGCTATGATGACTTGATCGTGTTATAGATAAACATGTCTCTGCAGTCAGAAGATTGAAGCAATTTACATTGTAGAACAGAACTCAAACAGTGAGAGAATGTAGATCTTGTTAGAGTTTTAAATTTTACTCCTTAAAATTTGGATAGTTTCAATATATTTAAAAAAACAAAAAAATTAATGAAATTTATATACGCTGTAAATTTCACCTATTATTCTGGTTCGGGAATAACAAATCTCATGCTAAAATCTGGTTTGTACATATTAAATGCAAAGAAACATTCCACAGAATTATTTTGTAAAAAAAATAATAATGTGAAAACAGCATCTCCTGCAATTAATTGTCAGATCTCAAGGAAGCAGGAATAAGAATCCATATTTCCAAAAATAACCTTAAAAATGTTTTATTGATTTAGAATATTTTATTAAATTATTAGCACATGTATTAAAAGAAATGTTGTACTGAGTAATACAGATATACATGCAATTGTTTGTTTTATTGATTGGCTATTGTTCATCTTCCTTCCCCCTTTTCAAAGTTAGATACTTTAATAATGAAACTTAATCTTTGATTTAATTGTTAATTTCAGAAACATGCACTCTGAATTTCACAGATGTCCTAAATCTTGGATTGCAGTGTGGGTCATTTGAGATTTAATAATTTAGCCAGCTGCAGCAAGGTCAAAAGTCTATGTTATCGGTAAAACTTGAGGTCAATTTATATAACCTCGGTCTTATCTGCTTTCATTATGTAGAAATAATCTAAGAAGATTTTCTTCAACTCTTTGAAATTACATTCACCAACACTGGAACACTGAGTTTCTAAGAATAAGAATTTCATTGGTGTACATATCAGGCATGTGTTATAAAAATGAACCTTTCTAATGAAACTTAATAGTGCATTTTTTCTCCGCTTTAACCTAATAAATAAATAATAACAAAATTAAGTTATATATGCATAAAATGATGGAAGTATCAACTAGTGAAACTGTTACTCGTATTTTTAGTAATACTATTTTTCTTTTATCAGGGACCGGACACTGAGTACACAAGACATGAATTGCCGATCGACCAAACACATAAAATGTTTAACGAATATACATTTTTTTAAGATCTGAATTATAAATACTTATTTATAATTAAATAATACATATACTTCCTGTTATTGTTCAAATATTAAAATAATCCTTAACAATAGGTGTATGTAGGAATATAAACAAGATACCACCTTCGGATTTTTTTAGAATAAAATATATTTTTCAGTGGGATAGTGATGATTGACAACTAAAAGAAACTTCATATTTACTCTATTTTGGACTGCATTCCACTTTGATTAATATTAAAAATCTGTTAAAACAATTAATGCAATACATATAAAATGTGAGTTTGTAATTAATTTTTTATTTCTTTTTTTTTTTTTTTAGAAAATATTAATATATAGAATGACAAAAACAAACCCTTTAAGCTTAAATTGTACACGCGCGTGTACTTAAGCTTTGATCATAATCCTTGCAGTTGACAGCACAAAAAAGTATGCCTAGAATTTTTATAAAAATAGAAAAAAAAAATCCCGGTAAATGTTTCAAAAAAGTGTTTAAATCTTTTATAATTAGTTTTATTTTTATTTTATCCTTATTATTCTAACCGCAGCATAGAGTTTAAAAGGATACAATATATTGAGTATAATAATGTATTGAATTTGTGTCTTTTTCCCCATAATATTTCAAGATAACCAATTTATAGTAAAATTTTAACATGTTTTTTTAGCAGCGTATGATATCAGACAAGGTCACTATATTGCTAGCAAAAAAAAAACACATGATTTTAATATATTAAGTACTCCTGTTCATACACACAAGTAAAAGAGCTAACGATATCTTGGGAAAGAATAAACATTTGACCAGTGACCACTTAGTGAAGCCGACGA